ATGAGTGAAGCTAATCAGACGCAGCTTTTCAGCTCTCAGAAGGGCAGACTTGCAGAGCTGCAGGCCCCAGTGCTCTAGTGGTGTAAACTGGCACAACTCCACAGGGGTCAGCAAACCTCCACTGATTTACACCAGGCAGAAAATTTGACCTTCCAGACCCGTATCACCGTCCTTGCCCCCGTGTCAACCGCATTCTCAGAAAACCCTTGAAAACAAGCCCAGCTGCAGCTAAGGGCCTAATCACAGCATACACTTTTCTACTCCACAGTAGGCACAAAGATGCAACGCTGGAGCCTGGCTGGCATGATCTGTGCCTCCCTCCAGAAGCATTTACCTGCAACATGTCATGAACAAAAAGCACCAGATGGCCAGCCCGAGACATTACACCACCATGTCTACTCAGAGACGGGGCCCAGCTCCCCACACGGGAAAAACAATACATTTCGATGGGCGTTGGTTTACGCTGCACTCAACCATTATTCTCAGACTCATTGGCTGGAGACATAAGAGCATCATAGTGTCCATACTACATTAGACCAAAAGTCTGCTTAGCTCTCTCTGATGGGGATAGCAGGTGGACGCTAGGAAAGAATAAAGCAAGGGCAAAAATGTAGGATACTTCCCCCAAGTAATCATCTAGCTTCCAAGTATTTTCAGCTCGGGGAACTTCTGTCTATTTACAAGGAACTTCTTACGTGGTAAACTTCTAGTGTTTAGAAGATGTGCAAATATTTAGCATCCACCCCCTCAACGGAAAGAACCTCTTTTCCCTCTCCTCCTAAACCTGGCTACAGCTAGCTTCATTTGGTGCCACAATTTTTACACTGGAAGAGACAGTGAACAGTCAGTCTCCATCTCTCTTCTCTGGCCCACTCACATATCTATAAACCTCTCACGTATCTCCAATTCATCTGTTTTCCATTCCAGGCTAACAAGTCCCAGCCTGATCCCTGCATGGAAGTCGTTCCAGACTTCTGAATGTCCTCACTGTCCTTCTCTGAACTTATTCCAGTTCTACTATCCCTTTTTGGAGACAAAGGGACCAAATCTGTAACCCATATCAAACAGGGCAGCAAACCGTTGATTCATATAGTGTCCCAGTAACATTTTCCATTTGGCTTTGTATTCTTTTCTTAATGTTTTCTTAATGTTTTCAAATGTTTTAATTTGATCTGATTTCTTGATTGCTACTGATCACTGAAATGTCAGGCAACATGACCTGGGAACAGTTCTTGCCATGCCGCCCAGAACATCAACATGCACTAATAAGGGCAAGCCGAGCTGCTGAAATACCTAGTTGCAATTGCTCATCAGAAGTATCTCAGAAACAACTTCAGATGCTGTGGCCCAACAGCCTTGTTTTCAGAAACAACCACACAGAGTCAGCCAAAGCCCAGCTGCCACTTTTGCTCTCGGTTTTATCACCTTTGTTTAAATAAAAGGCAGATAACCAAAGTCTAGGACAGCTGGCAAAGCCAGCCAGCGACAACCTAGAAAGCGACACTGTCCTGGAACATTTCAATCCAAATACATCCAAGGTAAGCACACCGAGAGTCACTGGCCTTACGCTAAGGACAAGCCTGACCCTTTGTGTTTATTTGTAGTACTGTGCAGGCTTAGACGTGCCAACATCTGGACAAAAATTCCTACGATGCTAAACAAGAGCTACTCTGTGTCACATACACAAGGAGCCTCTATTTTTAGCGGCCTAAAAACACATGACACACTGATATGATAGAAGACAGTTCGATCCCAGCTAAAACCTGGGAATTCAGGACTTACACGTCCAAAGTTACTGCTTTAAGCGTACTTTCATTTCCTGACTACTCACTACTGCCTTTGCCTGCAACATGGTGCCACTCAATCTGGTTCCACATATGGGACACGAAGGGGAAAAATGTAAGGCAACAGCTTTTCTTGATTACAACATGGGCCATTTGAATTTTGGTCTTGATGATTCCTAAACCGAAAGGCCAACGCTGTGTTTGAAGAGTGACAGTGTCCAACTCAAAGGCCTCTTCCTTAGCAGAAAGTCAGCTATGTTACCTGAAGTACCATAAACTCCCCAAGATGGCAAAGTTACACTAATAGAAAGGGCAGCTAATTCCCACAAAGGTAAGAAGTGCAACTATCTTGCAGAGAGCTTGTGGTAGCATAAATCCATTGTTTACACATAGTCTTAAAACAAGATTTGTTTTAAATCAAAACGGCTTTGTTTCATCTTTGACACCACCAAACTTACAAGTAATATTATGCGCAGAGCTGCTGGCCCGGACAGCTCTCACACCTTTGAAGGGTTACAAGACTATCTTTCTCTTCTCCCAGAAGTCAGACCTGACTGAGGGTTTCTTAATAGCTGCTCTCACTCAGGGTCTGATTTCCCCTCCGAGGCTGATTCGAAGAGCCTAGGGACACAGATCGGATCAGTCCCCATACTCAAGAGACAAGCATTTTGTGCCGACCCTTCTCGAATTAAAATTCCTTACTAGAAAGGCTTCTGGACGTGGCACAAACAATAGCTCTCTCCACCCTCTCAAGCTGCTACCCTGCGAAACAAGGGAGCGAGTCCCTCCTCTGCACACAGCAATCAGCCTGCCAGGCAATAAGAAGTAATTTTCTTCAAGCCATCTGGAGCAGCTCACGCTGTGCGCAGAGGAAAAAGCTGCCTTTGTTTGCACAGTAACAGGGCAGAAGAAAAGGTACTCCCACTCAAAACAGTTGCCAAGCAAAAGGCACGTTGGCCAGGGATGTTTTCGGCCACATCAGCAAACTGAACATCACATGTTTTCAATTATTTTTATCCCAGACCAAAAAAAAGAAAAAAAACAACAACAACAAAAAAAAAACCACCAACACAACAAGCCCAAGTGACGTAAC